TGTTATTATTTAGAATATTTAATTTTGTTAATAACATTTGTTGTGTATTTGAGATTAATAAATGGAATTTGTTTAATATTGATGAAGTTGTTTTTTTATATAACTAGTTGTTGTTAGTATCATGTTGATACATTATATTCTTTGTTTTGGCGAAATAATTGCTGAACTTGTTTTTTTGTAATTAAATTTGTTGTTCATTTTGTGCTTCTGTGAGTATTACTCACACACTATTTCAATCTATTACGTAATACTCAGATTTTATGAACCCTAAAGTAGTTAGAAGTATCCCAATTTTTGGGAACTTTTTTGTAATACTAATTCTGCTATTCATTTAATACATGAGTATTGATGATCGCTACTGACAATTTTAGTAGTACACTATTTCAATGTATTATGGAATACTCAGATTTTATGAACCCTAAAGTAAGAAATATACCAATTTTTGGTAATTTTTTTGTAATGATTTTTTATAACAATAACTTTGCTATTCATTTAGTACAGTAGTATTGACGATGGCTACTGAGGGAGTGCAACTGGTATTCCGATATGAGGGGTCATTTGAGACAAAATACAGATGACGGACATGTTATTTATAAAGGAAGAAAATTGAAGGTCACCAAGTATAATGGGAATAGTTCCTTGGCCGAACTAAAAAGTCATTTTGCAAATTTAACCAAGTGTGATCCAAACAAATTAGCTATTATGTACCACAATACAAGTCTATCTAGTGGGCTTGATTTGATTGATGTTAGTAATGATATAGATGTATCTTTTATGTTGGGAGGGGAATATTCGAGAATTGTAGTATATATTGTTGAGGCACAACAAGAATTTATTGCTGAGGGCCCATCTTCAAGGAATAGGTATTTTTTTTCATCTGTAAATTGTTTTTTTTAATCTTATATGTGTAGAAATTGTTGCTTCATCTTACACTCTATCTTTTTTCAACAGTTGGCGTAACACTTTACCTGAGCAAAATCAAAACATTGGAGTGGTGCCCAACCCTGAGCTCGTACTAGAGCGTGATATGGAGGACATTGAACCACTAGAGAGTCCATGTAGAGGAGTTGGTAATGAGGTTCAATTGAATGTTGGGAAATTTTTTGAAAATGTTAATGAATGTCGGCATCATCTAGTTGATTTTGTAATCCACAACAATATGTTTTGAAGTTTGACAAAAGTGAATTAGAACAAGTGTGGGCAAGTTGCAAGGAAGATGGATGCACATGGCATGTGCGGTGCTTACGAGTTGGCAGCACTGCATTCTTTAAAGTGAAGTCCATGGTTAAGGAGCACACATGTAGTGGTTCAATAGGGAGGGTCCATCAACCACTAGCTCGTAGTGATTGGGTGGTAAAAACGATTAAAGGCCACCTTCTTGACCAACTAAAAATTAAAGCATATTGTAAAGGATGTTCAACGTGACCACGGGGCCAAGCTTTTCTACATGAAAGCTTGACAAGGAAAAGAGGTTGCTAGAGAGATGATAGATGGATCACATGAACAACAATACCATGACCTTCCTCTATATATTGAGAAGATCAGAAGAACCAACCCGGGAACCGAAGTTCGCATCCACACAGATGAAGGCAGGTTCAAACGACTATTCATTGCCTATCGTCCATGCATTATGGGGTTTGTCAATGGATGCAAGCCACTAATTGGTATTGATGGAACATTCTTAAAAAGAAAGTATCAAGGCATTTTATTGTCCGCTATCGCGGTAGATGCAAATAATGGGCTCTTTCCATTGGCATTTACAGTGGTTGAGATGGAGAATTACCAAAGTTGGTATTGGTTCTTAAGTATATTGAATGAGATCTTAAATGTGTACCTTAATCTGACTGCCTTAACCATTATATCAGATCAACAGAAAAGCGTGCCAAAAGCAATAGAAAAATGCTTTCCAACATGTTTTCCATTATTTTGCATGCGACATATGGGTGAAAAATTCAAGGGCTTTATGAAGAGGTCAGCAAATACTGAAGTATTGCTGATGCTGTTTTGGAAGGCTGCTCGTAAAGCGACCATTGGTGGGTTTGAAAAAATAATGTTTGATATACAGTGTGCCGACCTAGAGGCATATGATTGAATTAAAAATATTCTACCTAAATTTTGGGCAGATACTTATACAATCATCTTACATCAAACATGGTCGAGTCTTTCAATGCTTACATTTTATTGGCTCGAGAGAAGCTGATCATTACAATGTGTGAAGAAATAAGGATACTGTTGATGACCAGGTTTGAAGAGAAGAGGGAATTAGGTAATACTTGGAGTGGCATGTTAGTGCTGAAGGCCCAGTAATTACTTGACACCGGAAAGATGAAGGCTCGATTTTTGTACAAAGTTATATTCACCATGGACACGCTTTTTGAGATCCACTATCTTGGGAAGAAGTACGTTGTTGATTTAATGCAGTGGACATGCAGTTATAGAAACTGGCAACTCAGTAGCATTCTGTGTGCCCATACTATTGTGGCCATTAACCATATGCATATGGATCCCACTGTGTACTGCCTTAAGTATTTTACAGCGGAAAACTTTAGAAGGGCATTTGAAACTCCCTTTGCACCTGTCCCAGATGATATTGAGTTGACAGGTATTTACAACTGGACAGTGTTGCCACCATGGACTACACGCCTTTCCGGTAGGCCAAAAAAGCAACGAAGAATATCCGAGACGGAACATCTGATTACCAGCTCGTTGAAGTGCAAACAATGCGGCGTAGAGGGTCATAATAGGAGGATATGCAGAGAACCGATATAGTGAACTTGATATTAATATTGTATTTTTGTATGGAATTATGATTTTCATGAATTAATGAATTGAGTGAATATTGTGTTTTTGTTGTCAAAATTGTGTCAGTGCAATCAGAATTCTTTGTTGTCATAAATCTTCTAATTGATGAGTTTGCTAATTTTGTATCGAGATAGATGATTTCAATATCGGAAATTTTTGTGATAGCTTTAAAATAAAAAAAATGAAATTCATATCCATACATCCAGAAATGAGTTATTCTTATGTCCATGCATCCAAAAATGATGTCCATTTTTTTATCTTGTCAATGCATCTTGATGTCCATGATCAATGTGATGTTTAAACAATTTCGAATGTTCAACATCCAATATTGACATATTTTCAGATTTTAAACATCCGAAAATGGTACTGTCACAATGAGTTTGTGGATGTTCAACATCCAAAAAAATAATATTTTCGGATGTTGAACGTCCGAAAACTCACTGTGAAAATCTCATACTAAGTTTTCGGATGTTCAACATCCGAAAATCATTGTAAAAATCTAGGAAGTAAGTTTTCAGATGTTCAACATCCGAAAATATTACTTTTTCAGATGTTGAACATCCGAAAACTCATTGTCAAAATCCAAGC